TCTAGCTAGTAACTTTATCTACTTTTTTTGTTTTATACAATATGTGGGGGTGGGGTTTGAACTCATGACCTCTTGGTCAGAGATAGATGCTTTAACCACTTGAACTATGTTCGGTTTGACACTCCTAACTATTTTAAGATTTATTTGCGAGGATGAACTTTACTAACTTATCCTTCTAGTTAAGGTTGGATTTTTTTTTTAATTTTTACTTGGGGTTGGACATTTTTTGGTTTAGTTTTGAACGTTTCTTTTACCTCGGGGTAAAATCGAATTCTTTCTCTGGTCATAACTAACCTTCTAGATTAAGATTCAAATAACAGAAGTGGTAAAAGATGCCATAATTAAAGAGAGGTCGAAAGGAAAACTTAGAGAAAAAGTAATTGCCATTTTGGGGTTGGAATTTGATAGAGACATAACATAACAAAGACATAATGATGAGATGCACATACAATTTGTGTTCATCAACATCTAGAAGGAAGCACGTAGAAGAAAGCAAAAGTCAATATACCCTTAATAAACACGTAACGCCCGAAAAATGATATATCTGATATACCAATGATGTATACCTGATCATATATATACATGATTTGATATACATCATTAATATACTTGACTATGAATGCTGATATACTTAATTATATGAATGTCGATGTACCAATAATATACTTAATATGTTACTTCTTTGACTTCTCTTATTGAATTGTGTTGTTTTATATACATATTTTAGATGAAATGTTTGTTTTTTTATAACCTAAATGCATGTTTTATAAATCTGATATGAATGTTGATATACCTAATTTACTATATTATTACAGGAATCAATAACATTGATATATACCTGATTATTAGTACTGATATAATCTGTTTGATATACTATTGAAATACCCTTATTTGATATATTTGAAAATATGGGAGAGTAAAATACGAATAGGTTTCAAATATTTTGCCTTTTTTGCAAAACCCAAAAACCTTCATATATTTGTATTTTTTTTAAGTACAATATGCGGAGTTAGAGATCAAACTCACAACCTCCTGATTAGAGATATGTGTCAGTTACCGTTGTATGCTCGCTTTGACAACCTTACCATATTTGCAAATATAAGCAAATATTTTTCCTACCCATTATAAATTCTCGATATAAATTAGTTAACATTGTTTTAAAAGTTTTCCTCTTTGCCCACCTCTCTAAATTTTTTTGGAAAGAATATATGTATAAATATATTATATAATGTTACGATGTCATTTCCTTAAAAGATCTTGTGGCTCCAACAGTGATGGAAGCCACAAAATTAGTAAATGCATGTTTGGGAGTGATTTTAACATGTCAAAATCACTACTATTTCAAAATAACATGTTTGACACTAATTTTCAAGTAATTTTAGTGCCTCATTCCTAGTCAACCATTATGAGTGACTCATTGGTTCAAAGGGGATAGGTTAATTAAGAGGGAACAGGTACTAATCTCATACCTATTTTACCTAAGAATTACAAATGTTATAGGGTTAAGCGGTTGCCGAATTGATTCTCAATTACATTTTTGCAAAAAAAAATAATAAAAAATTAGATTTTAAAATGGTTATGGTTTTAAATTTCAAACTTATTTTTAAATTTCACCTCATCTCCACCTTAAAATTTGAGAAATTCTATTCCTAAAATTTGTGTCACTCTCTAATTTTATTTATCTTTAATTTTGTTAATTCTATCTAATCTTTTTTCTCTAAAATTTTTGTAACATCTCTCTAAATTTTTAGTTCCGTCTCTTTTCTAAGTTTAATTCTCTATCTAAAATTTTCTTCTCACTAAAATTTCTCTCTCTAAGATTTTTGTTCCTCTCTAACTTCTTTCTATCTAAAAATGTTATCAAATTCTCTTATTAAACTTTAAATATTAATCATTTAAAATCAATTATAATTATATAAATATCACTTGAAAATTTATTTAACCAAAGCGTTAAAATAATTATGTAAAAATTACTTTCACAAAATCAATTATCATTACATATTTTTTCCTAAAATCATTCTTAGAGACCCAAATCTCGAAGATAAGAGAAACCAGAGGGAAGATGCAAAGCTCAAAAACCGTGTTTCATATTATTCGCTATAGCTTTCCAATCAAGATAAGCATATATACACCAAACAAGATGGAACCACCTTTTACGTAGCTCTATTTAAGAACCCTTCCATGCAACCAACTGTACAGTGATTCAAAATGACTCATAAATGTGTCAAGAAGAAGCCAAGCATCAAGTTGCTAAGAGAGGAGGTGAAAGCAATCTTCAGGGCTCACGATATCAACGGCGATGGCCACCTGAGCATCAAAGAATTGTCGAGAGCATTCGGGTCGCTCGGTGCGCTTCTCCCTCTCTACCGTGCCGTCTGTGGCATCCTCGCCGCTGATGCTGATGGAGATGGACTTATCACCGACGAAGAACTGGAGAAGGTGGTGGACTATGCTGTGAAATGTAAATATGACATAATCTAAACCATATCTTTCCATCCTGCCATTGAAAGTTTAATTTAAATTACTTGTAAGCTGTTGGCAAAGATAATAAAGAAGAAACCTTTCAATTTTGTGTGTCTGCCTTGGTTCTTGCAAGAATGATCTAGCATTGCCCTTCCCCATCCCCATATTATTGAGAAATGAGGTAATTTAGACCACTTCTCTATCTATAGTTATATCCAGTTATCCAAGTCAATCACACAACACAAAAAGAAATATCCAGTTATCCAAATCAATCACACAACACAAAAAGAAATATAGGAAAAGTAATAAGCGACACAAAAATTTATAATGGTTCATCCCAACAGTTTATCGTTCAGCTTTCTGTTCAAATACGGGTTCTACTAAAATTGAGATTGGATACAAGCGTTTAAATATCTCCCCATAGATATTCACTCTCTAGATGCAGGAATGAAAACAAACTCACAAAGAATCGAGAACTAGTAGACGACAGTGCACTACACCCCAGAATCTCAATCCTTTTCATCTGCCAAAGCGCGGCTGCCCAGCCTCTAAAACGTGCACCAACACTTTTCTCTCAGTTGCCCCCTCAATGAAATTGTGACACACCCAAGAGACCTAATAAAAAAGACAATTTAAAGGGAATTTATGTCGCAGTGTTGAGACGCTACCCTTGGACTCTCAACGCTACGGGTATTGTAGCGTTACCCACAAAAAAAGAAACATGTGTGCACCTCTTGATCTCCGCCTATGTGTTTGGAGTTGAGACGCTCTCTGCTGTCTCAATGGTGCCTCTTTTTTGTCTTTGATTTCGTGCGCGGCACTGTGCTCTCGGCCAGAATGGCCCTACACCGCTCAACGTCCATATTTTTCATTCCTTTGATGTCCCAACTCGCTCCTAACTCGTTCCGACGTTGATTTGACTCCACCAATCCCAGCACATATATATGAATTATATGGTGTATGTTTTCATGATAGAAAAATATTTAACTAAGAAAAATATTTAACTACTTGTCGGAACGCAGTTAGGTTCTAAATAAGTTGAAGAGATGAATGTAGAAAAAAAGAGTAAAGATTTTTTTTTTTTTAGAAATAATAAATAGTTGTGAAAATTTTATTGGTGGTATGAGTGAAAAGATACATGATGATTGATTAGTAGCTAAGTATTGTTCTAAATACACCCATCTTTTTTTTAAATATCATTAGAAAGGGTGTTTAAAAGAAAAGTGTTTTTTTCCTTTTAGTATAACAAATATGAGGAGGGAAGACTGAACCTCTAAATTGAGAGTAAGATATCTGAATAAGTAAGATACCTTAATAGTTGAGCTAAACTCATGTAGGGGCAAAGGGCTCGTTATATACTCAAACTATATATATAAATAAAAGAGTCGAGGGGACAACGTCGGGCATTCTTTATCAGATTCTGTACTATGGGCTACATTTGGTCAACCCATATTAAATTTGAAAAGATTGTAAAAGTTTCCAATACTGTTGTAAATCCAATATTGTTTAGATAAAATGTTATAAAAAATAATAGCTACAAGAAATAATTACAAATATAACATAAAACAATTATCATTGTTAAACCAATAGGGGGTTAATTATATCCAAAAAAAAATAGGGGGGTTAATCAGTGTTTATTGTTATAATGATTAATCAATGCATAGTTTAATCATTGATTTATGTTAATGAATAAATATTCGCACATGAACTAAAAACATGTTGAAATTTCATGTACTAAAAAAAAAACATGTTTAATTTCGCTCACCTACGTGTAGAATTGGACTCGCTCATTGCAATTAATCTCATCAACGGCGAAGAACCGACCTGGGAAAGACGAATTGAATTGATCGTAGTGTACTAAAAAAAATTGAATTGATTGTAGATATCCAGCTACTTGAATGGTACGATCCCTCTGTCACCCCAGAATGAAATGGGCAATCTCGTAGTTCTTGATCTGAGAAGATATGTTGTTAGGTGCTCTGTTTTATTTTCTCATTGAGGCTGAACATAAACCTGTTCTCGAGAGATAGCTATCCATATACTGATAAGGGATGTATGGATTCTCAAGAAGAGAGGAGCCGAGGTGGTCCCCGAACCATTCGGATCCCACAAGTTAATAGAAAGTTGGATCTACATTGGATTTCAATCGCCTCATCTATCCTCTTGAAGAGAAGTTTGGTTTCAATTTTGTTTCCTTCACGCATGTCCCTGGAGAAATTTATTGTATACGATCTTTAGAATACCACCTCATAAATAAGTATATTCTTAAAAATGGTTAAACCACAAGTAAATTTAAATATCTAACCCTCTTCTCATTTACGAGCTTAAAAATTTGCGCAAGACCCAATAAGTAGAAATTAATATAAATGTAGATGAAATAATAACATTGGGATTCAAAGATGGTATCAGAGCTTTCAAGTCCATTGGTGATTTATGGTATGTTTGGGAGTGATTTTAGCAAATTAAAATTTTGATTTTATGAAAGTTTAAAATCACTTTTAAATTGATTTTTGAGGTATCCTTGTTGATGATTTTGAAAAATCAATTATACTTAAATCTCTTTTTTCAAAATAACTCGTTCTACTATCACTCCCGAACACATCTTTAATCGTGTTTAAAATGATATTATAGTAGGAGGTTCTATGTTTTACCCTTTTGTCGTCGGGCCTCGTGAGAGAACTTATTAACTTAAACTTTTAGGTTTTCATTTGTGGTCTGTTCACATTAAGATATATTAATACCCTAATTAAGTGTATCATGCTTTGTTATTTATTTACTTAATTTTGACTCTATTGATACCAATAAACAAAATTGTTTTCGATCATAAATACATGGTAAAAGAGAGAATTTTTCTGTGAATTGGTGGTCACAATCAAGATGAAAGAAAAGATAGAGAGAATATGGAACTAATGAATCTGCAAGCAGGCGTATGGAAGAAAAAGAAAACCAAATATTAAATAATGAGACGTAAATATATGCTTGGAGAAAAGACAAGATGCCAACTTGGAAATATGGGCATCTGTCAATGTTAGAGAAGAACATTATTTGATAAAGAAATTATACTATATGTCACCATTTTTATCTAGATTCGAATTAAGCTCCTCGCAAATCTCATTATATGGGTTATGTTAAATATTTTTAAGTCTTTTTTTTCTCTAATTTGTACCTCTTAATAAAATTTTAAAAAATTTAAAGATTATATATCCAAAAAGTTAGAAAGTAATAATATATTAGACAGTGTTTATTAGTTAAAAATAAGCTGATTCTCTTTTCAATTTCTAAGTTTCATGACAATTATTTCAAATGCTTTATTAGCATGACCATGGTTATTGGTAGGATAATTTTTTATCTATTTCATCACAATGCATTAAAATATGAGTGTTTGCATGACTTAACGATAAAAGATGCAAATTGGCAAGAGCATCTTTTTCTCTCATTTTCCTTGGGAAAATTGCATATCCACAAAATAACAAAACCAATAATATGTTATGGAAAATTCTTACTTCTTATTATTATTTTATCTACATTAGTAATATTTTTGTTGTTATACCTTACATTTTTTAAATAAATTAAGATATTATGGAAAATTGGAAAATTAAATTAAAAAAAAATCGAATAATCGATAAAATTAATATAGGTTAAAAATTAAATAAAACATTGTCTACTAACTAACCAAGAGTTAACTAACATAATATTTAAAAACCAGCTATATTGAAATACTTAAAAAGTTTAACCACGAAATTAAGCAGGTAAAAACAAATGGAGAGATTCAACAAAGAAAAAAAAAACATTTTCAAAATTTAACTAACAAATATGATATATAACTCAAAAAACGATATACTCACAAAAGTATCTTCGTCCAACTACAAGAATGTTCTTAACTAACTACAAATTTTTCAACTGGAAATAGAAAACTTAATTAATTAAATATATTAATTTTATCATTTAATCAAGTTTACAATTAAATGCGATAAAATTAAAAATTTAAGATTTGACTTAGGTGAAATAGAAATGTCTTCATTTTTCATGAATGAAAATAGAAAATATGAGGGAGTTTGTAAAGTATTTTTTAAAGAAAACATGGTAGTGCTGCAACAAACAATATTATTAAAAAGTGAATAATGTTAAAATTATTTACTAAATAATTTCTTCTTTTTATATATATTCATGCCAGAATTCACTCCAAAGACAAAAGGTATATGTTTAAAAGTATTATGGAAAATCATATTCTTGAAAAAGATAAAAATAAAGTTTTTTTTTTTTCATTACGGCAAGTCCATGCGTACTCAAGGGTCATAACTGGCTTCAAAGATATTCCTTAAAATCTCAAGCCACCCAAACTCCCCCGAGAATATGACTTGAGCTAGTACCTCAAGTTCAGTTTTTAGATATTTTGATTTTTATAATTTCAAAATTTTTATTTTGTAAAGAGCTCTTTTCATTAACTATATAGTCAAGCTAACTTATAATAGTACAACTAATTAACTTACAATAGTACAAGAGAATATAGCATACTCAACTAAGATATTTTAGTTTTGTTCTATTCATTTTCATTTTAGTCCTTACATTTTATTTATATTTTTTATCTCATTTTTAATTTCTTAAAAGTATTATAGAGAAAGCTACAAATTCCTATGAATGCGAATATGATCATAAAGGAGTGGGAGAGTTTGTACTATAAATACCCACAACCTTGCATTAATCAACCAAGCAGTTTTCTATAGAAACACACATCATTTATAAGAAAATGCCTCGTGCAGCAAGCAGGCTACACTTCTCCAGGGAGGAGATGAAGGAGATTTTCAGAGAGCACGACCTCGACGGAGATGGTCGATTGAGCATCAGCGAGCTCGTAAAGGCTTTCGGGTTCCTCGGTAACATCCTCCCTTTCTACAAAGCTCACTACGGTTTGGCTCATGCTGATGCTGATGGAGATGGCTTCATTTGCGAGGACGAGCTCGATAAGCTCGTCAACTACGCGGAGAAGTTTCAGCCCAAGCAGCATGGAATTAGAGGCTGCCACAACTAAATTTGCTCATAGTTTTTCTTTAATAATGTCATTACTCCCCATGCTCTAATACTTTACTCTCAAGGGAGTTTTAATATTCAGTAAATAAAAAGAAAAGGAGGGCTAGTTAGTCCTGCTTCGGTTTAACCTTCAAAATCACTGGTGCTTCCAATGACTGAATTACGCTTTGGGTTTATTATTTATATGTGTGAATCTGACCAAAGTTCTTTTCAAGAAGTGAATAAACAAGCATGAAATCCAACCAAATAATTAATTAAAGAAACAAATAAATATTATTTATATGTTTTGTGAAAACTTATTTACTAATAAGATCATAAACAAATAAATATAATTTTTAAAAACATAAAACTAAAGAAAGTCAAAGTTTCATTTGAAAGTTAAATTTTTTTAAAAATAAGGTTGTTCAAAATTATTATGTTGTAATTATTTTTTAAGATATTTCTAGTGCATCTTATAAGTAAAAAAGATATATATCAAATAACACTTTTGTTATTTTATGAAAAACTGAAAACGTATAAGCTAAAAATAATCCTTTTCTAAAAAGGAGAAACAAAAAATAGGAAACCACGTACTTATCAAATGCATGCTTATATTTTTCAAAGTTTGGAAACAAATCCCAAAATAGAAGTTTTGGTCATCTCAATTCTCATCCGTTGTTGAGTCGTTGGAACGGATTTGATTTTTTTTTTTTTTTTTTTTGAGATACAGGGCTCGATTATTTAAACTTTATTATACAAACCAAATTGAAAGTTGCAGAAATTTCTTGGGTTTGCGACATTATGGTTATCATAAGTTAATTATAAATAAATAAAAAAAGGAAATCACCAATTAATTTAAGAACTTGTTGAACTAAATAAACCACCATTATGGTTTTATTTATAATATTGAATTATTGATCTTCTTCAATTCACAGCTTTTCGTTCTGCCATGACACCTCTAATTATGTAGTAAAACTTTCATTGGCAAGAAGAGGGTGTCATGGCAGCTTTCATTGGCAGACACCTTTTCTTTATCGTTTTCCTCTCCTAAGAGGTAGTTAATTGAAATAATGAAATTTTGTTCTCTAATTAATGTACTGATAAGCCCAACATTTTCAGTTCGCCAAGCTGCAGAATGTACTGCATATTTTCTTTCATTTTTAGTTTGTTTGTCTAAGCGAGTATTGACGAGCAGTAATTGACATCCCAATCAAGAAGTTGTATGTTCTATTTTTATTTAATAAAACTATTCGCTATCAAAATCAACATAAAAAAAGTGAGAATCACGTACCTTATTTTAAAAGTTTTCCTTTTTTTTTCCTAAAAAGTTTCATTTCTTATCAGCTGAAGAATTTGGAATCTTCATCCGATGGAAAAATAATAATAAAAAAAAAATAAAGCCCCCACTTAATTATATCCCTATCACCTATCTTTTCAGAATAAATTAAGATGCTTCCAAACGGGTGAAAATTTTTTCTAAGATGAACACAAGTCCATGCAAATCTTATTACTATTGCGGGTACTCATTTTAGCAACAATCTAACTTCTACTGTTTTATTAATTTTTGTTTTTTTTAGGAAATCTAATGTTTTATTCTCAAAAATTACGAGTTTGTTTTGTAACATTTTGTGTGTTTACTAAAAAGTAATGTTGTTTTGCATTGTTCTCCAAAAACAAATAAAAATAAAAAATAAAAAGACTGTTTTGCCATCAATTAATGTTTAAAGAATATTTGCCAACACACGATTGGAAGTTTTATTAACTTTCTAATAATACGGTGTATTATTAGTAGCTAAAAAATTTTAGTGAGATCCATTTATTTATTAAATATAATAAAAATAGCTATTCAATGAAAAATATCATATCAAAAATATTATAGTATGGACTAGTTTATGGTTTTTTAGGATAAATTATAAATTTAGTTTTCCCTTTTTATGGAGATAAAAGATGATAGGGGCAGCCTTTTGGCCTTTATGCCCCTATACTTAGGGGTATGTCCAGGTCATTGACTGATGGAGTTGCGTTTCATAGGATCACTTGAATCCAAGATCTCAAGGATATTCTTTGAGGTCCCAAGCCACGAACGATAAAAATTAAATATAGTATACTTGCAAATTAAAAAAATTGTATGTATGTGTAATTTGATCCCTTAGAATTATTTTTTTTAATATAAAAGCCTCACGTAACATCAAGGATAAATTGAAGCGTACGAATATTATTGAGTCAGACTATTTGTGATTTTTAACTTTCTTCTAAAATACAACAAGAATCATGTTCTTGCATGGGTCTATTATGTCATTTCTTTATATATTCTTCTTTACTTTCTATTTTTCTTGTATTTTCTTCGTATCTATATGAAAGAAAAATTTAATGTTGCAACTCATGAATTAGCTCTATTAACCGTTTTTGTTGGTTAGCTCCCCTTCCTTTTAAGATTGAGATGATTTTTAATGGTGATCAAGTCTTCCTAATGTAGTTTGAATTTTTCTTACATTTTTTTTAAAAGAAGTCAATAATCGCCAAAACTCATAGCTTGGCAATAATTGACATATATCTCTAACAAAATGGTTGCGAGTTTGATCTCCTGATACCCCACATGTAAAAAAAAAAAAAAAAAAAAGTCGAGAATGAATGCTCTCTAGATATGGTCCACCCTTTCATCACTTTCACATTTACAATCCAACTAGGGTCGAGATTTTTAAAATATCTAGCCTATACCAAAAAATTAAAAATTAAAAACAAAAAAATTTTAACCAAAAAAAAAAAAAAAACTAAGCCATGCATGGTATTTTTCCTTCCTTTTCTTTTTCTCTTCCTATTTGGTAACCATAAATTTAGTATAATTTACTTAAAATATTAACAAAAATATATTAGCAAATATTAAGAGTCCAATTATTCAAATACCCAATGTATCACATTGAAAAGGAATAAGATTCCACTCTGTAAATAAAGGGATTTATGACGTTTCCCCAAAATGACTATAAATACTCAATTTTCTTGAGAGGTTTTTTTCCATCTCCAAAACTTAGCATATATCCAATCCAAACACAGCCTTAGGTTTAACAATGTCTTCCGATTCTCTTCAACTTCACCGGGGCCAATCTCATGTGAATGAAGCTGAAGCTAGTGAAATGATCCAAAAGTATGACAAAAATGGCGACTCTATCATCACCAAGGAAGAGATCGTCGACAAAGCTGTCAATCATAAGGCTAATGTCGTACCAAAAGCTCAAAAAGTCCCCGCTAGAGTGGCGAATGAAAAGAAGGCACCGAAGATAAAGTTCAGTCGGAGCCAAATCAAGGAGATTTTCATGGAGCACGATATCGATGGTGATGGTTGCCTTAGTGTAAGTGAGCTGATAAAGGCTTTTAGTTTTCTAGGTTCAGTCATTCCACTTTACAAAGCTCACTACGGTCTAGCTTTTGCTGATGATGATGGAGATGGCCTTATCAGCGAGGAAGAACTTGACAAACTCGTTGATTACGCCGAGAAAGTATGTAATAACAAACGAGGATTTTAAGTTTCTCTGCTAAAATATTATGAACTAAATACGTAAGAACCAGAATAAAGAGTTGGCTGAACTCTTCGTTATGCAAGCTTCGTTGATCATATTTATCTATGTTAAAGCTCTTTTACCTAAATTGTATCTTGAACTCAATAAAAAAAAAAAAGAAAAATAAGCTAAAAATAAAGAGAGAGAAGGTTGATCATAAAAAAAAGCTTAGCTAATCTTTTCTTTTAACATTAATGCACTTTGCAAGCTCTCAGTTGTTTATTTGTCTCATCTTACAAATAATGATCATTAACAAGTTGTTCGTGAGACTTTTAGATAATTACTAATTTAGAATATATTTAGAATAATCTTTTAAGTAGTTTTAGGTGGCTAAACCTTTTAAGGGTTTTGTTTTAATTCTACAATAATATTTGATAATAAATCAAATAAATTAAAAGAAGTGGATTGCTTTAAAAATCATTTTTGAAGAGTTCAAAAAGTGACTTCAAAGTAGTTAATTAACACACTCTAGCTAGTAGGTTAAAGCACTTGCGAACTTAAAAAGGTACTTAAACTAAAAGATATATCAAACCCATCCTAAACTAATAAACCGCTAAACTAAAAGATATATCAAACCCATGCTTAGGTAACTTATACAGGTTTACGTTTCTTTTTGTGAGGTTTGAACTTTGAAGCTCAAACAAATTAAAGTAAAGGTTCCTTATCAACTAAATCATGATTGAATTGCTTATCCATTAATTTTTTTTATGTTATCTTGCAACATCGTCTAAATTTCGTAATGAGATTCTATCCCCTCAAAAATGTTATTTGCCACCTTAATTTAATAAGATTTCTTAAATTAATCACTGTAAATAGCTAAATTGTCTGGTGAATAGAAATCAAAATTTTCATTCTTTTGATGGTATTGAAATGTTGGATCCTTCTCAAACTTTATAATTACTCCTCTAATGTAATCTTATTCTTCTCCTACAACTTTTATTTGCATCTTTTATTGTAGGCCTCATACTTTTATAATAATTATTAATTACTTCACAACTTTTACCCTTTCTCCCTCATTTATTTATGAGATCATAATTTTTTTAATGGATCTTTTTACACTTTTATTATTTATGTGTTTATTTATATTATCAATAATTTTTCTTCTAATAAAAATTTATAAATTTTAATTTATTTTTTTAAACAGTTTATAAATTTTTATTAGTTGGTGTGATTTTGTTATAAAATATTAAAAAAATTATATTCAAATTTACTTTGTTATTGTTAATTAATTTCTATTTAAGGTTTGGTTGGGGATGAGTACATTGATAGCCTATTTAGGAATCATAATTACATAAAAGGATTGAAATGTATAAAATTTACACTTTTGTCATGAAACAACAGTAACGATGGTACCTATCGTCAATTTACCAACATATCCTTTTGTATTTACACTTAAATATTAACTATTTTTAAAAAATTCAAAATTGGCTAAATCCCTTAATTTATGCCTAATTAGACTCTCCAAAAATATCAATTACCAAATCTCCAAAATCCCCAAAATCCTCATTCTGCCATCCGTTTCAAAAAAACCTTCTTGTTCTGTCGTTTCTTCTTCCTCTCCTTCCACAGACACTATTGTTTCCGTCCGTTTGAGCTTCTTTTTCTCCGTCGGTCATCTCCGTTTATCCCGTTCGAAAGGAATTTTCGTCATTCCTTCTTCTCCGGTGATTTCTGCATGCCTTCGTCTCCGGCTGACGTGCCTTCATCTCCGGCCGCCTCCGTTTTTCTCCATTGCCAGAGCAATTCATCTTCGTTTATCTCGATCGCAAGGTTTGCATTCCAATGGTTGTTTTCGATTTCTGATTTCGTGTGAACTATTGTATATATGAGGATATATATTATAGTGAGTTTGATTATGATATATCTTATAAATCAACTTGTATATATGTGGATATGCAGATATATACTATAATGATTTTGAATGTATATATGCGGATATATAAGTGAATATATACTGTGATTTTGAATATATTTTTTGAATATGCGGATATATGCTTATTGAGACTTCAAAAGATGTTTGTGTGATTTTGAATTGTACTTGAAGATTGAGCGCGGAGTGAATTGAGGGATTTAGGTTGAAAATTAGTAGGGGACCCACAATAATTAAAAGATTATGATAATAATTTATGGAATTAAATCGTTTATATTAAAAAAACAAATAACTATAATGAATGTAAATGTAATAAATAATGGTAAAATCGAAATTAAAATAAAATACTGCAGGCAGAAATCTAAAAGTGTAAAATTAGAAATTTGTGTAAATAAGTTTTTAAAACAGTCATCCGAACACATTAGCTGATGATAAAAGCCCAATGAACACCCTGTGTACAAAGTTGGATCAAAGGCCCATGCAGTGCCAGAAAAGAAGTTTGAAGACAAAGCCCAAAATGCCCCAAAAAGAGCCTTGCAGATAAAACTAAAAAGGAGATTTTTAGAGAGCAGGTATTTGATTTCTTTGACTTGATCACTTCATTCTTCAAGGCGCAGGTATTTTCTAAACAATTTTTTGTTATAAAAATCTATCAAAAGTTAAAAATTGCAATATATATTCAAATTTAAGATAATGATTGCAACATTTACTTAAATTTAAGGTATAATTCCATGAAATTTAAAGTTGGAGTAAATTTTGATATGGTAAATTTTGATTTTTTTCGTAATCATTAAATGTCTCTTTTCACATTTTGGTCATGTCAATTAAGGTTGAACTAAGTTTATATTGACATCATTAAATTATTGTTTAGTTAACATAATTAATATATGTAAACATGTTACTCAAATATTACTTGACACATAAAATCTAGTCCAAAAAAAAACTTTTCTTTCACATGTCAGGTTCAAGTAACATGACTATATACCCAAATAGATTAATAAAACAATAATTTATAATGACACGTCAATTTTTCGGTAACAAATTTTGTATGAAAAGACCTAGTTAATTATTTTTAATACATCAAAAACAAAATCGATATTTCCCAAAGATTAAAGATCAAATTGTAAATTAGTCTAAAGATTAAAAATATTTAACCTTATTTTAATAATATTTTATTTCCAAAACCAGTTTATGCATCAGTCCACTAAGAACCCACTTTTACTGGACTAGGCATCGGATCCCGATGGACCCACCCCACGAACTTGTGCTTCAACCTTCAATCCAACCATCCATGGCTAAATTATAAATTTGATTCTATAATTTATATTTAGTTTAATTTTGATCTTATAATTTAAAATAAACTAGATTTTGGTTAACTGTGGAGCCAAATAATGGGTTAAAAGCTGAACGTTTTCTTTAGGTTTTTACCGCAGCGCACTTGTATAAATAAATATTATTCTTTACTTTATGTTTGGGTGTGGCCGTGGAAAACAAAGAAAATATTTGCCTCCTCAACAATGAGGATGAATCTTGTCCTCCTCCCCGTTAACTTTTTGACAAATAAGAGAGAGGTAAAAACATAATATTTTTTTAAATAATAATGTATTGTCTTGGGTTTAAACTTCTCTGGAACAGTCGATTTTTGAGATTTTTGGCAGCATCATTCGGGGTGTTGACAAAAACAAAAAGTAGATTTTAAATTTATAATTTCCTTTAATTTTTTTTTTCTGTAATTGCAAGTATAATAAAAAATAAGTAAGTATGAGTCCCATTTTTTTTTTTTTTAGGATAAAGTAGGAGTCTAACTTAATGCGCATAAAACGATTTAATTTTGTTTTTCTTTGGAAATATAAAACGATTTAAATTAAGGAGGAGAATAAAGATGTTTTCTTTGAATAAACTATGAATCTTGTTATTTCAATTATTTCAATTAGCCTGATAAATATTTCAATTGATATTTGTTTCTTTCTTAATTTCTTTTCTCTCTTTCCATAAAGTTACTATCAACTATTAATATTTCCACTCATTCGCAAACATGTTAAAAGATGTATATTCTAAGATTGGAGGTTCAAATCTCTAACCATAGATTAATAAACTTAACAAATCAGATTTTTGATTGACATGTCAAAAAATCTATCAAATTAGATACATGGATAGATGGACAAAAATATAAAGAAGGGCATATCAAAAGAATAATGTGATTAAATAATATTATTAACTTATAACACAACAGTTTTATTAAATAGTCAAAGACAAAACTTATTAACATACTAAATTTATATAAAATTCGTTTAAATTTTTTATATAAAATTTAAAATAAAAAATTTACACTGTTACAATTGTTTTCTTGTATAATATTGGACAGTGTAATAGATGAGATAACATTTGACCAATTGAATTATTCTCACGTCTAACTTCATTTATACTAAATTAGTCCACTAGTATATTAACATACTAAGTAAGATTTTAAATTTTTTAATTGATTCATTTTAAGAATTAATGATTTCATGATTTCAACAATCCAATATTAACCAATAATGTTATTTAAAAAAATGTGTTTTTGTACTAATTCCAATTCATAAAATAAAATATGAATGTGCTAAATGCTTACATGGAGAGATAATGCATCCACGTGCGAAAAGAATTTTATAAATCAGTTCATATGTTTTCTTTTCTGAAACAATCAATTAATATGTTGGTCACATCATCATTTATCATACCAATAATATTTAGATACTTATCAACTAATATATCTCTCATACTAAATTATTATTAAAAAAAATTGACAGCAGAAACAGATACAGATGAATGCATAAAGAAAGAGGGAGAAAATAGATTTTATTTATAAAAATAAATATCTGTCAACTTTAAAAAAAAAATAATAGGTAGGAATTCATACTAATCGATAAGCATCTAAATATTATTCCTTTTATACTGAGGTTAAGGTTATGAAAGAGAAAACTTACACTATTCTTTATAATAACACTATGGGAAGCCTGGGATCTTTGTACCCATCTTTGGGCAACATCTTTTTCAAAAAAAAAATAAATAAATAACTTAATTAAGGTGCCATTCACCTTACTAAAAAAAAGGGAATAGGATTCTAAAGTCGAGCCAAGTAATTTCTTTTGAGTGGCTATTAAAGACTTGAATCGTGTTAAGATTTTTTTCATCTGAATTCATACTTTTCATCCAAACAAATCTAAAAAATTTCCGATAAGGGTTCCGATAGAAAGACATCTAATATGCCACTTAGTCGGGAGCACATGAAGGAGATTTTCAAATATCATGATAGCAACAAGGACGGTTTTCTCAACGTAAGGGAGCTAACAAAAGCTTTTGGCTTTCTCGGCTCAATTATTCCATTCTGCAAAGCTCACTATGGTCTGGTTCATGCTGATGCTAATAACGATGGCCTTATCAATGAGACTGAGCTTGACAAGCTCATCGATTATGCCTATAAAGTCATCAAGAAGAATTGATCTTTTAAGTTGCTTTGAAGATAACTGTAACTTCAAGTCAACCATCGAAAAAATAATTTAGAAATAAAATAAAGAGTGTGTTGGTAATAAATAAAGTGAACTATGTGGCTCATTTCCCTTTGAGTTTGATGATAGTTCAAACATCAGCTCAAACCTAATTCAAAAGCTAGAATTGGACTCGTCCTCTCATTCAATCCATCAATTCTTAGCATAATTTGAAAAACGTAACATAAAAAAATATGCATATTTCATATATACCCACAGGTACCCAAGTATAAAAAAATTCCTTTTGCAATTTGAAAGGTACAAGAAAATGTACAAGCATTTTATATGTACAAAACAAGCAAACAAGAAGATGGGAATTTATTCCACGTTTCAAGGATTTTCCTCTCAATTTCTTCCCTAAAAGGAAATAAATACATAAACTTATGGAACTTAATTATTTACCTATGCATTTCAACTACATACTTACAAAAGCTAAACTCTTGGTGGATCGAAACAACAGACTGTACAGTAACACTATATCAAGTATGTTACACAAAAATTTCAACTCAGCAGAGATCAGCAAGAAATATGGACTGATTCATTCTGCAGGAAAATTTTGGCGGCAATCGATTCGACCGATTGTCAATGGATCCAAGAGTTTAATAATCTCCACCAATGAATTTAGCTAAGAAACCCATCTGAAATATGTTCTACCAGCAAGATGTTGAAGAAATATCAGAGAAATGCCAAAACTTCAGCAGCTGACATAATATTAGAATTTGGAAATTGAAATCGAAATCAACTCACAGCGCAGAGATGATGCCCGGCTTCAAGGAGATCTTCGGCATAACGGGAATATTTCAGGTGGACAACTTTAAAAATCTACCATGGGAGGTGGTAGTTTCCAGTAATTCCATGAATTGAAGTCCTCCTGTAAAATAATCAAAGAATTGGTTTGATAGAAGTATGGCCAGAATTATAGTCCATGTTCAGTTTACAGCTTACGCAACCTGTTCGGACGAGGTTATGGGAGGAAACATGCCATTGACAAGAGTATGAAGGGATGCATACGATTTTGTGTCGACGCGACGGTTTACAAAAACCTCCCCCTGCAAGCATGAACATTTGATGAATTTTGATGCTAACAAATAGTACAAGGTTATGCTGTTTTTCTAGTCATATTCATGAAGGCCCTTTCAAATCAATCACCTTGGGATTGATAATGAAGATTTTTCCTCTTGGTATACCAACTTTGAGGTAGCTGAATTCATCAGTATCCCTGTTTCCAAAACCAGCATAAAATGGATTGCAGTCTGGAGGAAATAGTTCTCTGATTCTCTATAAGTTACAAAAAGCAGATTATGAGCCATCTTATTCAGAACCAATGCAAACAAATAATATTAGATAATTCATATTGAGTGATTTTGTCAAGAAAGATGTTTAATATCCGAGTAATAATCTATCTTGACCGGTCATGCATACAAGATTACAGCTTATCACAGTATGATAATAAAGAATCTAAGGGCCCATTTGGTAACGTTTCCGTTTCTTGTTTTTCGTTTATAATTTTCTTAAGAAATCTAAGCATTTTACCACTAATTTTGTTTCTTGTTTCTTCTTTTTTGGAAACATTCACATAATTGCATAGGAATTTTAGAAACAACCAAAACAAGTTTCTCCTTTCTTGTTCTCATTTCCAATTTGTTCCAAAACACAAATGAAAAGATTGTTTTATCATACTTGAATTCTTTGAGGTTGGAATCATGCGATACATTTCTCTTCATTAAAAATAAAAAAACATAAACAAGAAACAAGAAATAGGAACGTTACCAAATGAGACATTTAAAATACCTGAGACTCCCAATTTGAATATCAAGGGCATATGTCAAGAAAAACAGTGCGAAGACTAACCTCCAAGCATGCAATCTTGAACTCATGAGGAGCCCGCCGAATAACTGAGAGGAGGGAAATGAACTAAAAGGTATTAGTGACAAACCTAAGCATGCCCCACTCCGTATGTTATGTTCATGACCCATCCTCAGCTAATTTTTGGGAAGACTTTGCCTATCCCAAAACCAGCTCTTAGAGTTTTTAAGTTGTCGAGTTTTCACTTGAGGGCTTGATCCTAAGACCTTGAGAAACATACCACTAGGGCACCCCTATGCTCTGGAACCACTTCATCCCAAGAGTATGGATGCAAATGCAGGAGACACTTAGGGCTTATGGGTTCACATGACTATGTTAAACCATCCATTGCAAGGGAAAAGCATGCTGCATCGAAATACTAAATCATGCAATTCCTAGTTTTCTATTTAATCACCAAAACCAACATAGACTCTAAGAATAAATTCAATAACTAGAACTTATTCCACAGCATGTAGTAGTTTACGAAATCCTAGACGTAAAAAAGAAAAGAGTATTGGACATGAATTCTCAAAGCATAGTTATCTGAGGGGAGGGAAAAGCTATAATGTGTTTCAGGTAATTTCTAAGGAAAAGAGGAGAGATAAAATGTGGTACCTTCTCGAAATAGGGAAGGGAAAAGCCCGTCAGGGGAGATAACAACAGGCCCTTCTGGCAAAGCCTTTCCATCCTGCATTAAAGAAGACCCAAATGAGATCAAACATGAATCTTAACATAAGAGTTTAAGCTCTGAATACATCACCTGCTTAAGGTTGAAAAGAAATTGACGGGTGTGATAGGCCTGAGAAATTGAACGTGCACTAAGAAAAAGCAATTGGTACCCATTTTCCTGAATTAAAATATTAAAAAAAAAAAATTGAGTGAGAGAGAAAAGAGCAATTTTCATACTGAATCATAGTTTAATTCATCACATACAATCATCCAACTGCATGAGGGTGAGATAAATAATACCTTTATAGCTGAAAATAAATTTGTAACACCCGTCTGTGACCAATCCATTCCAACAAAGGGCATAAATTGACCCAGAACATCCGATCTAAGATAGTGACAGATGAGGGGGAACAAAGTAAGTTAGGAAAGAGACTGCTGTAAACGAAAACCAGGAAATAAATAAATAAGCTATTTATTACGTAAGTTCATTGTGGCAAACATCAAACGACTCAATAGATTGAAAAGCTAATGCTAATAAATGATAATAAAGTAGAACTTCCATGCGAAATATATATTATTTTTTCATTTTCTTTCTTTCGGTGGAAAATAAAAATATGATTAATTAATAAAAGAATTATAAGAAAATGAAAAGGGGATAAACATTCACCAATGTAATAACAGAGTTCAATAGGGTAAAATCTACGATTTGACTTTCTTCAGCTTTTACCTAAATTGGACTCTAGTTGAAATAGGTTCAAATAGGGAAAACCACCTTCATGTTTAGTTGACACAGGTTTAGTTTCCGTCCCAGAGGAAGTTAATAAGAGAACAATCTTCCTCGTTTTATCCAATTTAATTTTTCCCACAGCTGAATCACCAAGTGATTAATTGAAAACGCGTCTCCAAGTCTAAGAATTTTGATTCCAGCAGATGGTAATTCTAGTAAAAACAATCATAGAATGATACTATTGACTAGTTCGAATGTAATATTTTCATTCTGGAAAAAGAAAAAGACCGAGAATGGAGCCGACAAATTGATTAAACAATACAAAACATTTCTATACATAAATAAAACTGTACAAAAAATCAGAACATCGCATTCAAAATCATTAGGATGAAATACCCTACCTTGTTATTGTCCCATCCACATCTGATATCACTATGCGAGTATTCCATTTCCACAAATAAATCCTGGCATCAACCTGTTGAGAAACATAATCAGTCACGAAATGTAAATATGAGTGGAAACAAAGTAAGGGACGACTGAAATCACCAACATTCTGAGGAAGAAAAAAAAAGACGAATTATAAGGAGAAAATCTGACCTGTTGCTTCCCCAGAACTGGAGTGTAGAATGTGAAAGTTACCATGTTTCCCCCTTCCTTGAGATTTAAGGACGCCAGCTGCTCTGATGTTGGCGATATGGACCTAACCATCTTTTTCTCTTCCTTGTGCTTAAAGATACTTGCTTCTCCATCCATGCCAATGTTCTTATCTGAAGCCTTCTTAATATCAAAATTTGTGTAATCGTCAACAGCTGATTGAGTTGCTTTCCTGGAATTAGATCTTTTGAAAGAGAAAGGCCAAAGTTTCCAATTTCCAACTGGGTCAACAGTAGCTTCTGCTGGACTACCTGTAAGAGTTTTCTCAAAAAGGTCAACAGCTATAATGTGTTCATAAAGGATATACATTCATGTTCTCAACTATAATGATCCTCAAATAAGTATAAGTAACCTCACTCCATCATAAGGAATGAGCACCAACTTTTAAGCCTGTCACCCTACAGTTTGCTGCTCAAGGAGCATTTGCATCAGTTTTGGACACATCAAGTGCATCTTGTTTTTTGCTATTATGGACGAGAATTACCTAAAGGAGTCTATAACAGAAAGCCATACTTTGAAAGAAATTAGATGGTGTCAAGGTTAATGAATCACAAAAAAATGGAAGCAATATAATTCTAAAAAGACCTAATGAATCGAGTATATATTATATAGAGCTTGCATAAACTCAGTTACAAACTTTTAGACAGTATAAGTACTCAAAGGTAAATTTTCACAGATATAATCCAAGTTCTCTTACCCACTGTAGTGTTAGGAAGAATACTTTTGAGTTCTTCTGAAACCAGGGATTCTTCGGTTTTTGACTGTTCCTCTTCCACTTTCTGTTCTCCACCTCCACCGAACTTGGAGCTTGAATTATCTTTACATAATTCCATCCACTTGAATGATTCGGAATTTGAGTCTACAGAATGGCTTTGAGAATAATTAATCTCACAGTCAATTGGATTGTTGTTGCCAGCCTGCATATTGGGTAATGAAGCTGCCTGACGCTCAACTTCTTTGCTAGAAATTGGATGACTTTGGGGAATTGTGATGGGACTTGCCATCCCCTGATTGAAGATCTCGTGACCATCTGGAGAAGCGCATATCTCAGTATTTCTATTTACAAATATATTCTCTTCATCAATGCTACTCGGATCATCTTCTTTATCATTACAATCTTGGCCGTCTGACTCAACATTTCCAATTTCCTTGGTTTTTGAAACATCAAAATCACTGAAAAGGAATTGTTCATCATCAGAACTCGTTGACGGCATCATATGACTTTCTTCTGTTATGACTCTATAACCAGTCGAATTCAAAGATTTTTGGAACTTGCTTGTGACACTTCCATCCACACCTTTGTCGTCTTGAAAATCCGAGCTGAAACTTGATTGTATGCTCTCGGACTGCAATTCTTTAACTGAACCAGGCACATCTGTGGAGACTATTTGAGTATGGGAAGCTGCGAATGTCAGTGGCTTTTCTTGGTCCATTGTGTTGCCTTCATAAACGCAAGTACTATAACGATCCACTTGTTGAGAATAGTTCACAAGAACAATTTTTTCAGTTTCTATCTCAAAATCTTCTGCTACCACACTAGACTCTGTATCCTGATTTTAAATTTTTGATATATCAGTGGTAATTAACAAAAAGAGTCAAGCATTGATGGAAACAAATTCAGTGAACGTTCTATCTTTAAGAGAACATAATAGCTTATTTTTATCAACCTTCTTTGTATCAGTAAAAATGCTAGAGCTGAGTTCTGAATTTAACAATCATACATTGCTTAATGGTACATATGAGTGAATTAATTTATTTTATTTCAGAATAGAGCTTACCTTAGGATGAACTTCAGTTGTCACATGCAATTCCTCAGTATGAACACCGATGATCTCACATTCTCCATTAGCCAGGTGGGAGTCTTTATGAGTCAGTACCCCTGAATCATCCAAATTCAACATCGAGCTCTTGGAAGTTTCATGGAATATCAAGGATTGGACTCCATCAGGTACACTTTTGTCTTCGGAAAAAATACTTGTTTCATCAGATAAACACCGTCCAATAAAGTTCTCTCCAAAATATAAGTCACAATCCTTCAACAATGAAATCTGGGATTTGGAATCTGTACTCTCAGAGATGGTTCCTGTCACATGCATAGTACCTTCGACATTCTGTTCAATATCTCTTGATGCAGATTTATCCTCATATTTTCCTTCAAAAGCCTTTTCCCCAATAATGGAAGTTTCAACCACTTCATCCTTGGTGTTTAAACTTGACATCTCAGAGATGGTTTCT